CAAGGGCCATGTCAGGGTCGAGGTCTATGTTGATATCCATGACCTGGGCCGCTGCCTGAGGGCTGCACTGAGGTGACCCTGCCCTTCATCAGCCACCACATCCGGAGAACTAGCCTGGCCCCTCACTGGCCACCACACTTCAGCACTGGCAGTGGTTTTGTGAGCTGGCGCACCCCAACATCTACTCCATCTATGACCTGCTGGAACGTGTTAAGGGACTGGGTCTTCGGAGCCAAACCAGCGGGATCTCCAGGAGTCTGGGCAACAGCAGGATATCTAAGAGGAACCTTCGTGAGGGTCCAGTATTGGATGGCGTAGCGGAAGTCAGAGGCCTCCAACCAGTCCAAAGACTCATTGCAATGGGCGTTTTTGCAAGTAAAGCTGTTGGGGCGAAAGGGTCTACTGTGTGACGGACTGCAGCTTCTAATGACACCAGAACAAACGAGTAGGTGGCGGAGAGGGAGAGGCGGGAGAGACAGAGGAGCAGAATGGTGCTCGCGCAGCGGCAGAATTGAAGGTGCGACAGCGGTGGCGTGTGGGAGAGGAGCCTTCCATTGGTAGAGGAGGCTTCCATTGGCAGAGGAGCAGGGCGTCTGTGGGGGTGGTCTGCGAGCCTTTGAGAGGGGGGACGGTTACAAGCACGGAAGGTGGCCATGGAAAGACTGGGAAATGAGCGGTATGATGTGAATTTCCCAAAGAATCAAGGAAAGATTATGTTGAAAATTAATTAATTAATTGAAATAATTAATTAATTGATTTAAAAAATTTTAAAAATTAATTAATTAATTTAAAAGAAAACAAAAAGGGGCCAACTATTGGCTCAGGGGGGAAAGCACCACCCACTGTAAAGATTCATACTTGAAGACTAGCTTTGTTTCCAAAAACACATTTTATCAACAAACAATATTTATATTTGTTAATTTTAAACAGTTGTTCTCAAAAGAAGGTTAGCCTATGGAAGCACCCTCCCCTTCTAAGAATCCCACGGTTTTGGGGGCAGAGGCTGACGAAGCTGCTGAGAGAATATCGTTAGGTATGTGCGAGCGAAGGACAATGAACTTTTTTGTCAGAAAATGAGGATAACCTTGTGTAAGCCCTCAGAACGGTGCCTGGCAGTGGTTATAATGTGGGCTGGAGCTATGATCATCGTTGTCATCTTCCTCGACATCCGAGGGAAGCAGCTCAGAGTGGCTTATTTTTCCACTAACCTACACTCAAGAGAACCTTTTCTAAGGACAGCGGTAGCAGCTTTAGGGGAAGCTTGGTGGTGCACTGGTTTCACATCTTTGCTCTATTTTCTAACCTATTTTGATGTTTCAGTATTTTGTAAATTAATCTGCTGACCTGCCTGACTCATTAAAGAAGAGAGCCCTTTATGGGCCGGGGCTGTAGCTCAGTGATAGAGTACTTGTCTTGCCTGTGCAGGGCCCTGAGTTCAAACTCCTCTGCCACCCATACAGACAAACGTGAAGGTCCCGGGACAGCAGTGACATTGTTAGAGCCTACTATTATCACTTCAAGACGCAGCTCTCTTAGAATCTCGGGATTTGATGTCTGGGATTAGAGATGATTGTGGAAAATCAAATGAAATTCACATCAAAGAGTTTATTTGTTATTCCTGGCCTGGTTCCTGCAGGCCTGTGTAGCCCTAATGGGATAGCAAAGAATCTGTTACTAAACACAAGGCTGCTGGATGGGCAGAGTGATCCCTGGGCCCACACGACGCTGGAACTGCGCTGCACTGTGAGATGTACCATGTTCCCAGTGATGTAATCAACACTAATCATGTTTGAGGAACTTTACATTTGCACAATAATTTCAAGCAGTGGTGCTACTTTATGAAAAGGAATTGAATATTAGCTTCTTGCATAAGCCATATTAAGCAGACATTAGGAACAGCATCACTGTGGTATAGAGCTGGGAGTCCAGGTATGGGGTCACTGAGCATCTTCCAATTTTAATGCAGAAGAAGTTTGACAGGAATATTAAAATGCTGAAACTGTTGTCATTTTAACCCATGGGTGAGTATCTACTCTGGCCAGCCACTGAAGGGGAAATTAATATTTTCTCATCAGCAGTTAAGTAATTTTGCTTATAATGAACACCTACAAGGAGGTCTTGCCACAGAAGTTCAGTATTTGCTGAATGACTGAAGGAAACACGGAACCTCTCAACCCGTGAGGAAGCGAATGAATTTAAGTGAGTGACATTGTCTGAGGTCCAGACTGCCACACTGTGACCCCGTGAAGACAGAGGAGAAACCATAATCTTTTTTTCTGCTAGGTGTAGTTTTCCAACAAAAATATATCTAATGGAATTTAATAAAAAGTTACTAATGAGCTAAGTTATAAAGTATGGAAGGCTAAGCTTTATAAGTTTAATTATACAATCATATTATAAAACATATCCCCCTTGAGAAAGTTAATATTTTTAACAAGGACAAAACAAAACAAAAGACTGAAAAATGAGTTAATGCATATCTCCCGAGGAAGATGCTTAGCTTTCCTCTGGGCTACTGAGATTCTCTTACACAAATGTGATGGTCTATATTCCCACCTCTTTCCTCTCTGCTCTATGACCTCCATAGGCTTCCCCCTTTGACTCAGACACTTAGCTACATGGCTGAGCATATGGTAGGACGGTAAGTCTCTTTGTAAGTATGTGCATTTATTATTGTTGTGAGTGCAGATGCACGCACACCATGGCATATGTGTGGGGGTCAGAGGACAACTTGGAGTCATTTCTCACCATCTTGGTCCCAGCAAGCACCTTTACCCATGGTGACCTGAAAATCCTTATAGTGGGGGGAACTTCATCTGTCTCTCTTAACGGGGACTATGTAAGACTTGGTTCAGTTCTGACCATCCACCTTTTCATCTTAGATAGCATCTTTTTTCATTTTTACTTCTAGTTAGGATTATAGTTTGCACCAACCACCCACCATGTCCCAAAGGACTGTTCGTACACTTTAAAATGTTAGCACTTCCGAAGTCTTTCTGTTGAGAGGTTTCAAGAAACCCCTTCCCATGCACATACATTGAGTAGGTGCTTTTGAGACCCACATGACTGCAGTACTTGCTTTGGGTGGCAAGTCAGCCTGTAGGAGCAGGCCTGCCCATAGACTAGTGGCTCAGGCTGCCCTGAAGGAAGCTGGAAATGGTTCTACAATATGGAAATTGTGAGTTTCAATGTGCCTGGGAATGCAGAGTAGCAATTTTCTATTTTTTAAGCAGAACGTATTTTCTGACCAAATTCAGCTGAAGATACATGAAAACATCCATAATAACAAAAGTGATAATGGACTCAGTAGAGTAGTCTCCTAGAGAGGAGTTTTGGCATGGCTCACTGCCACATGCGGTGGGAGCTGGGAAGCAGCTGGCAAAGCCATCAGGGCAGCAGAGAACATTGTTCTGGAAGGTCCCCCCATGCCAGACATAAAAGGTTCTCATCAAAAGCTGATATATCGCCTGGTATTCAGCTAGGAAGGGAGGTAAATTGATGAGCTGATTTTTCTCACTGAACCAAACAAAAAACAAAAACAAAAAACAAAAAAAAGTGAGATAAGTCCATCATTATATTCAGAAAACTCAGCCACATATTTTGACCTGGATGCATGAACATTTGCTCCTTTGTGGGGCAGAGCTGTCACTATCTCAGAGGTGTTGGGTCTATATGGATGCACGTTTTTGTCACCTTTCCCAGTGACACGCACTGACAAATGCCTCCCTCACTTACAGGAGGGAACTGGAAACCAGAAGGTATTCCCAAGCACCAGAGAGAACATTTGACTGCTGTGACAAGGAGGCAGCCAAAACTGGGAGAAGGATTCCAGGGGGATGACTTGAGCCGGGCAGCAAAGGCCAGAATTAACCAAGTTTATCTTTGTGGCCACAGTCCTAGCCATTATTATAACTAAAAACACAATAAACTTCTTATTCTGTTCTATCTTATTCTATTCGGAATGAAACATCTGAGTGATAAGGTAGAGAGGAAAAAGGAACTGAAAGGAGAAGAGAGTGGGTCAGAGAGATGGCCTCACGGCAAGGGCACTAACTGCTCTTGCAGAGAATCTGAGCTCAATTCCCAGCACCCACGTGATGGCTCACAACTCCAGTCTCTGGGAGCCAGACGCCCCCTTCTGGCTTCCTCAGGTGCTGCATGCACATAGCACACATATACACATGTAGGCAAATACACATAAAATAAAAATAAGATAAATGTTTTTAA